GTTTATTGGAGATAGGAGTCTCACAGTCTTTCCTGCCCAGGCTGGCTTTGAACCGTGATCCTCAGATCTCAGCCTCCTGAGTAGCTAGGATTACAGGCGTGAGCCACCAGCGCCCGGCTGCTCTACCACTTTGAACCACAGCGCCACTTCCTGTTCTCTGGTGGCTAATTGGAGATAAGAGTCTTAGGAACTTTCCTGCCCAGGCTGGCTTTGAATCTCGAGCCTCTGAACTCAGCCTCCTGAATAGCTAGGTGTGAGCCACCAGCACCTGGCTTATACTTGTATTATCTGTAACGGGAGTGCAGATACCTTGAAGGATAAGCCATGTTCTATAAAACTTCATTATATGCTTTGAAAATTAAATAACTATAGATTAACCTTAAAATTAAATCTATATGTCTTTGTCATCTTTATATCTCTATTATCTACAAGAAAACCTTCCTGGCACATAGTAACCACTGATAAACTGTGCTGGGAGTGTTAATATTGTTTAAATTCTTTTAAAAATGTTTAAACAGCCAAGTCTAAACAAAGGAACCTAAAGTGTATTTTGCTGATTAGATTTACAAACATCAGAGAGATAATTTCTCTATCATCTGCATCTGACTTGATTCTTGATGGAGAATTCTCTATTGCTCAGAAATTGGCAGTTGTCCAATTTCAAGCAAAAAACTATCATCAAACTATCATTATAAGAGTTCTTCTATATACACTTCTCTTGGGGAGGAACCAGTGGGCGGTAGGGGACACAAAAAAAAACAAAAGAGAAGTCCAAGCCACATGTGTGTCATGGAATTTCTTACTAATGTCTGAAAGTAGGTCAAAGTTGGTCACTAGCAAGACAAATGGGATACAGAGATTTTTCCCATCAAAGTGACACCGTCCTGGGTGGATTCCGTGCTAATCTGGAACATGTTAAGTGAAGGTCTGTAAACCCATGCTTTTATCTCATCCTGCCACCGAGGTGTGGGGGCACACTCTCACTTCCTACGTGAAGTGTGGCAAAAACATAGAGCAATTCAACAGAGGCATCTGGAATGCCCATCGGCACTTTGGCTCTTGGCTAGCCTTTCATTGCCTCCATTGCCATTTCCTTGTGGAAAGGTTATTTTCCATCCGGGATAAGAGGGGCAGGCATCCTGCCTCCATAAGAAAACAGCAACTTGGGCTGCAAAAGTCATTTCCCTGGTTTTCCCACAATCCCCAGAACCTAAGCAGAGATCCTTGAAGAGTGTGTGCCGGAAGGTCACGAAACTGCCTTCGAATACTTCTTAAAATGCTATCCTAGGTTTTATGGTCTCTTTTTCTGGACAGTGGTCTCCACTTCAGGGTTTTAAGGCTATTCATTTCATTTCATGGGAAATAAAACACGGAATGTTTAATAACTATAGTCTAGACAAACATATCCCAGTGCGTTAATAAGTGGAACATTTTCACATTGGAAGGAAATCTCCATAGAACGAGATTTGTGACTATCGCTCATCTTCATGACCAGATGAAGAATGAAAACAGCTTCCTGGTAGGGGTTGAGTTCATGGGCTCTAGAGGGAGATGACCTACACTGCGCTAGCTAGATAGGAGACCTTAAGCAAGTTGAGAAACTTTTCTCAGCTTTTGTTTTCCTCATTCTTCATGGTGGTATTTGAGAAATGGATAGAGTTTTAATTATAGGATAATGTAAGTTCATATGTAAGATCATAAGATAATATAAAATCTTTCCTACTAACATGGGGCTATTAATTGAAGAATATGTAGCTGCTAAAAACAACAATTAGAATGTGACTATTACAACTTTCAGAGTGATAGGAAATATGACAACTGAATAAAAGGTGAATCTGAAATTGCAACCTTTCTCAATTTATTATAACTGGATCTCAAGGCATCTTACAAATTCAGGTGTTTCCCCCACTACCACCACCAAACTTTAGTGATTAATTCAGTTCAGCAGTTTTTTTTTTTCCTTTGTGTCAGCCATGGGACTTGAACTCAAGGCCAGGGAGCTGTCCTTGTGCTGTTTTTGCTCAAGGCAGGCATTCCACCACTTGAGCCACAGTTTCATTTGTGTATTTTTGCTGGGAAGTTGGAAGTAAGTCTCATAGACTTTCCTACCTGGATTAGCTTCAAACTGTAATCCTCGTATCTCAGCAGAATAGCTAGGCTTATAGGCGTGAGCCATTGATACCTCACATATATAATATATGTATACACATACATATATTATTTTTCTGAAAGTAACCTTTTCTTTCTGAAAGTTTTCTATTCTAAATCAATTAGCTGACACACATGGTCTTATATGGATATTAACTAAAACAAGAATATTGCCCATTTTCTTGAGCCATTCATCTACTGAGGGGCATCTGGGTTGGTTCCATAATTTAGCTATGGTAAATTATGTTGCAATAAACATAGTTGTGCTGGTAGCTTTAGTATGGTCTTGTTTGTAATCATTCAGTAAATGCCTAAAAGTGGGATTTCTGGGTCACAGGGGAGCTCTATGTGGAGTCTTGAGGAAACTCCATACTACTTTCCAAAGTTGTTGGAGATGTGGTATATATACACAATGGAATTCTAGGCCTCCTTCAGGAAGAATGACATTGCCCCATTTGTTAGGAAATGGAAAGACTTGGAAAAAAATTATATTAAGTGAAGTAAGCCAGGCCCAAAGAAACATAGGTCCCATGGTTTCCCTTATTTGCAATAACTAATATATGTCTGGGATAAGTAGAAAAGATCAGATAAGATGATGTTAAGTGAAATGAACCCCAAGATAGGGACACAAGTGGTTTTTATTTCCTTGCTATTGTTTCTAACGTATTTATAAGGTACCATGTGATTTTTTTTGTTGTTTTGTATGTCCCTCCCCCACGGTATAACCCTTGTTTTCACTGTATTTGATATTGGTATAATTTGGGGAGGTGAAGGGGGAAAAAATTGTTTAAATAGGGATACAGGTGGACCCATTGCAGCAATGAGATGTACAAGACACTATGTCGAAAAAAGAGCTTTACAATTTAGGCAGGGGTGAGGGGTAAGGGGTGGAGGGGTGAAGGTGGTGTAGCTGAGGAGATGGGAGAGAAGGGATGGCAGGGGAAAAACAAAGGAGGAGGCAACAATGCTGAATAAGAAATATACTCATTACCTTGCTCATGTGATTGTAACCTCTGTACAGTATTTTTACAATAAAAACATATTTAAAAAAAAGAAATGTACTCATTACCTGCTCATGTAACTGTAACCCCTTTGTACAGTATTTTCACAATAAAAAACTTAATTTTTAAAAAAGAAAAAAAAATAATATTGCCCAGTGTATGTTTATCTGTTACTATGGTCTAGTCGCTGTTGCTTTTTACAATGACTTTGTCCATGCTTTTTGGCAAGTTAATAAGCAAGCAGATCAGTAACAAATAGAGAAATAGAGTGGTAGAGTGGCATGGTCAAGGCTTTGGAAGGGAGAAATGTAACTGCCACTCTAATTCCCCTGGCAGACATCATTAATTGATTGCAGTACTTCTTTTTCTCTCAAAACTTCAACAGCGGCTTACAAACATCTATATGCCAGCACTACTGGCAGCCAAGACTCCTAGACAGAATTTGGCATGGTGATTTGGAAACTTCAAAATGCTGAAGTATTTATCTACTTGGCTACTTATGAATGGAAAGACTTAGCACATTCACATACCATTCTAGGCTAATAATCTCTCACCTAAAAAAAAGGAGATAAAGCAGCCACTCACCTTACCCAGCATGTAAATTAGCCATGCAACCCTCAGGCTATTCAACACTTGAACAGGACACAATCGATCTTAAGGGCAAATGGGAAGGCTTTAGAATTTCCCACCTGCTCTCTTATTTCCTACTTCAGATTTCATAATTTTCTTAAATACAGAATTGTGTGAATATCTAGCTCTCCACATGTTGTTTGCCTAATTCCTTTTCTCTTAATTTAGTGCAACTTCTGTGTTCTAAGGGTTTTCCTTGTGGTACACCAGGAAATAGATGGTTCGATAGATGGTTCTCCTTGTACTGCTGGCTTTCAAACAAAACTTTGTATAAGATATGACTCCATTGTACAGCCAATACCTACTTAGTGACTTTTAGGGATCATATGATAATGTTTTCTGGCAAGTGCCAGACTCTATTAAACTATTTTTAACTCTTAAGAGAATCAAAAATATGGAGGTACAGTCTTTGGTTAATGGGTTCCAGAGGGATAGCGAATTGGCTGAAAGTTGTTTCATGGAAATGCAATAGGGGTAACAAAAGTTCAGCTGTCTTCTTTCTGATCTGCCTATGCACAGCCTCTCAGCTCAGAGGTAAAGACAGGGGGGAAACTTAGGCCCCACCTTAAGTCGCAGTCTGTGGCACAGGCTTCCGTGACAGGTCCTGGCTGGGGCAGCCGATCACATCTTTGATCAGAAACAGTTAGCTGATCAGATTCCCTGGTACAAACAGGTCTTCGTCTCCGCTCCCCTAAGCAGAGTGGAAAGAAAATTAGGAAAGAAAATCAGCCGTTATTCAGTGAAAGATTTTGCAAACATTTTCTGTTTAGAAAGGCTAGACTGTAAATGTGTTCCATTTTGTGGGCCACAGGATCTCTGTTGTTGTACTTCTTTTACAGGACAGAAACAGATGCTCATTGACAATACATAAACAAATTGGTGTGGCTGTGTTCCAATAAAACCTTGTGGATTAAAAGAAGGTGGTAGGCTGGATTTAGCCCTATGGCTGTAATTTGATGACCCTAATTTAATAAAAGGAAACAAAATAAATAACATATAATATGACTATTAAAACCACATCTCTGGAAAGTTAACTTGGCATAGTTTATTTGGCTTGGCTTTACACATAGTGTGCAAACTTCTTAGTAGGAAGAAACCTAACATAACCCGAGTCTCCTCAATAGTTTCACTTCTCAGCCCCAAACTGCCAGAAAGATCAAGAGAAAGATTTGAGGACACATGTAAGTAGAAAAGTTTTCAGACTGCATATACGCAGCTGTGTGTGTGTGGGGGGGGGAGTGGGAGGGTATATTTTGGCAGTACTGGGGTTTGACTCAGGGCTTTGCACTTGCTAGGCAAATTGCTCTACCACTTCAGATATACCCCTAATACTTTTCTGCTTTTCTTATTTCTCATGTAGAGTCTTACTTTTGGCCCATGCTGGCCTCAAATCACAATCCCCCTGAATTTAACCTCCCAAGTAGCTAGTATTACAGGCATGAATTACTGTCTCTGGCTGTGCAGTTTTTTTTTTCTTTTTCTTGACTTAAAATCTCTTCAAATCCAACCAAACTGAAACTCCAAGTTGATACCTTGGCAGGGTTTGCTACACGCTTGCCAGGGTCCGTGACTGTTCCAGTAAAACTGTTGAGGCTTGTCATCAATTGGAATATTGAATGAATAACGCACATCAGGGTTGAATAACTTTCCCACCGACAAAACCTGCAGATGTGGGCAAAATGAAGAGAGATAGTTGAGGATCTGTGGAAGTAAAGAAAGACAAGACCTCATGAGCTTGTTGTGGCTGAGTGTTTACCTGAAGCAGAAGTTCTTGTTCAATACGGTCTGTGGAATTGATTCTCTCCACAACATTGTCAGAGCCACTGTATTCAATCACGGCATTTCCAACACGGATTTCCCTTTTGGACATCGTGACCACAAAATCACCATTGAGTAAGAATTCACCTTTACTGCTTGATAAAGCTGTAGATGAGAAAAGAAAATTTGCTGACTTCCTGTGACTAGCTGTGTGAAACAGGAAGTCATGATTTGATCTGCAGAGAGGCAGAAGACAGGACACTTCTGTGCCAGACAGGCCTGAGTTCACATTCATTTGACTTATCCCACAGTTGCTGTGTGGCCTTGGACAATCATTTTCCCTCTCTGTCTCTAGTTCTTGCCCTCTAACATGAAGATAAAAACACATATCCCTTTATGATACTTGACAATGTGATGAAAGATACAGATCCCAGTCTGTCTGGGGGTTTAGAACAACCTATAGTTACAAGATTACAAATGGAGGCAAAATATAGATTTGAAAATACTATGACTTAAAACATTATGATTTGCTGACTAGTTGGATACTTATACTAACTGATTTTCCTACATATATACATATATATGCATATCTGACATACATTATAATTAGCTGAGCTTCCTAAGCCTTCATTAAGTCTTCTTTGTTTGGCAAATGTGACAATCTTAAAATACATGGTCAATATGATGCTCATATGTCACTTTTCCTGGGAAGCCTTCAGTGGAGACATTCTAAAATGGCCTCACCAGGAATGCTGGTATGCTGTATTTACTACTACCACTCAGGTCTTAAACAGCAACGGGAAGGTTTTTGGGAGAATGAATTGACTCTAAATTGTGCAAAAGATGAAAGAGTCAATGAAGCTGAAATGAGATATTGGAAAACTGCTTGAGTCAAGTGGCAGATTCCTGTCCAAATGAGAGTTCGATCAGATTGATCAACAGAGTTCGATCCATTATGCAATCTACAATAGCAAAATTCACAGAATCAGTGGCCAGTAATGGCTGCCCAGGGCCAAGATGAGGAAGGAAGGGATGGGGTAAGAAAGAACAGTGTTTCAATCCTGTAAAATGATTGACATTCTAGATATCTAATTATAGCATAGGGATTACCTGCTAAGGGGATAGACCTTAACTGTTCTTACCTCATTCTTTCTCTCTGTCTCTCTCTCTCTGTCTGTCTGTCTCTCTCTCTCTCACACACACACACACACACAGAGGAGGGAGAAGGTGGTGCATTCCACCACTTCTGTGCCTTTTGGCCTGTCAGATCATAATCCCTGCACATACCCTCACATGCCCTGGGTCCGGGGCTGGGTCTGTCACAGGTGCTGAACTTCACACCAACACAAAAAGGCGTGACTTAGAGATGATTGGTTTCCCAAAGCATGGTGGCTTCTAAGCATGAAAATCTGTCTCCAGAGCTTGTGAACAACGAACGTTTTCTAAGAAGAGTCAGCAAATGCTTGTTGAAGAAATGGATTACTTTGTGCATTTTTCCCTTTGTATACAAACAGAAGCCAAGTGTGTTTAGGTTGCAGATTTTAAAAAAGAAATGGAAATAGTGGGTTTTGTGAGACTGCATGAGCCTATTTGTGTTTTGAGAATAGAAAGATTTAAAAGTTCACTTCTCTTAACCCCAGAATGATGACAGCCCTACGAAGGTACTCGGATATTAAAAGAATGAGTGATGCATGTGATGATGGTCCTGCCCAGGAGGACAGTGCACCTACAGCCAGATGACTATTTCCCAGCCAGGGTAAACCTCCAACAAGCTTGTCTGGCCTGCAGCTCCTGCAGCGCGAGCCCCAGCAGCCATGCAAGATGCAGGCCTCACAACGGGTCACTGACTGGGGACAAGGTTATCTCTGTGGCACCTCAGGCATCGGAAGGCTACTTCCTAAAGCAGGTCACTTATGTGGTGAGGGCATGATGGGCCATCAACAAAATCACCGGATCCTTTCAAGTGAAGCCTAGTGCTGGCTATCCAGCAGATGCCCAACTAAAACAACATGTCATATGCCAGTTGTAGACATTCAACAGTAATCTGATTCCCTTCACAAAGAGCTGTGGTCCCATCTAGGTTAATTCTGGGGGTCTTTTCGCTTGTTTCCAGTCCTTTCTCATGTTTGTGCTGACTTGCTAGCATTTCACCCTGTGCTGTTTGTTACTTATCCCAGTTAATGGGGACTAAAGAATGGGATATGGGCTCAAATCAGCCTTCTCTTAATGATGAGCTCTGATAATACATGGCTTTTCCCAGTTCTCTGTAAAGTCAGAGATGAAGGAAAATTCCTGCTTTATTTAGCACTGAATCGATTCCTGGCTTCCCTCTGCCACAATTAATCAAGGGCTAAGTGTCCTGGAGAAAAATAAGTATCACCGAAATGGCTCCAATTTTCTCCTAAAGAGACAGGAACATGGCAATGGCAGTATACACCAAGTCTGTGTGAAAGGACGAGCTGTGACAGGGAGACTTTTCTGCTTCGGTACCTTGTGAAACAAATCATTTCCTGCAAATAAGAGTCTCCTGCTCGACCTCCCGCTAATGCGATTAGGGGAGGTAATTTCCTGGGTTGCTTTCCCTCCCATTGCACCCATCAGATCTGGGTTACTACAAAGGCCCTCTCTCTTGGAAACTGCTCCCTCATCAAAACACACAAGGAGAGTATGACTTGACTGACCTTTATACAACCATCAAGGATAAGGATGAAGGTTGCTTAGCAACCGAACCGCAGTGACTGAACTCACAAAACTAAGTGTGGGCTGTAAGGCCTCCTCAGTACTCTATTGTCCCCTGCTATAAGCCAAGAGTAAACACACACTCTAGACTTAATGACATTGAATTCTTCCTAACTTGTTAAATGACTGTGAGGTTCAAAAGCTGAGGTGTCAGCTGGCACACTCAATGGACCGTGACTTACAATCAACACTTGCATTCTTTTATTTATGTACTGGGGCTTGAACTCAGTGCTTCATCCTCTCTCTTTGCTTATACACTGAAAGACTAGTGCTTTACCACATGAACCACATCTCCACTTCCAGCCTTTTGCTTGTAAATTGGAGTGAAGAGTCTCACGGTTTTGTCTGCCCAGGCTGGTTTCAAACCCAATCCCTGAGTAGTTAGGATTACAAACATGAGCCCCAGCACTCAGAAATGCTTGCATTCTTTTTATTTGCTTCCAGAGAGACTTTCTAAGGCACGTGACTTTCCCACAATATTCCCTTTAAGAGCCAGGACTTGCTCCGACTGTCTATCCCTGAGCCAAATCTGAATTTTGTTGTCATTCTTTACCAAGAGATTAAGAAATGTCCAATGAAGAATAGGTGAATTTAGGTAGTTTGCATGTGCTGATGCAAACTGATTTAGTTCAACTAAATTAAGGCCACTACTTAGACAGAGATCATTTTCCCAAGAAGGAAGAGAAGAGAATCCTTCTCCCTTTTGAGGAGCAGAAATGAACAATTCAATGTGACTTCCAGCTTTCCAGAAGTTAATTAATAGACAAGGCAGTGACTATAGCTACTTGATTTAATTAGCAAGTAGTTATAGTGAGGACATGTAGACTAAGTACTCATATTAATAACCAAAAGCCTGGAGAGAAACACTTGATCCATTTTGCACAGTTAGGGAAATAGCGGTGTGGATTCCTCCCAAAATAATCTGAAAAGAGTTCTTGAGAATCCTGTGAACTCTCTGACTTCAATTCCTTCTTGTGGGCATATTGCTAGAGATTGAACCCAAGGCCTTGCACATCCCAAACTCATGACTTACTACCAAGCCCCAGCCCCAGCCCTGTTGCTTTTCTTATAAAGTTGCCTTTTCATTGAACATTTGGGGTGTCAAAAAGATGATGCCATTTCCTTCTTTTTAGTTAATTAAAGTAGGACTCTGTGGCCTTAGAATGAAGAAATGAATCTTGATCTTCAAGGTATTTCCACTTTGCATGAAGTACACAGTGGACACTCAATAACTCCTAGACTGGGCAGGCTTGTAGTAGCAGTCCAATATGCAAAGGCATGGCCCCTATGTTAAGTAAGTACCGGGGATCAATCAGCTAGATAAGTAAGTAACACATCTTCCCATGCTAGCCGACAACAGCTCCAGCCTTTCCATTGCTCAGTTCACAACCTGGGAGTTTGGACTCCTTTCAACTCCAGGACAAACGTCATCCATCTCTCTTTCTCACACACCATGTCTAATTCATCAACAATTCATAATGGTTCCAACATCAAAAGGTTCCAGAATCTGATCATCTTAACACCAACTACCTAAAAGGTAGTTGAACACTGAACAAAACCATCAGCATCTCTCTCTCTCTCTCTACTTTTTTTTTGCTGTTTTCCCCAGTAGTAGGGTTTGAACTTGGGGCCTGACATTTGGTTGGCAGACACACCAACACTTGAGCCACAACTCAGCTCATTTTGCTTTGGTTATGTTTCAGGGTTTCAAGTAGAGTCTTGAGCTTGCTTGCTTGCCTCCTTCTTCTTTGTTTTGGTGGTACTGAGATTTGAACTTGGGGTCTCATGCTTACCAGGCAGCCATTCTATACCTGAGCTTCTGTTCCAGCCCTTAGTTTGTTGAAATAATCTCTTGACCAGTGTTGCTGTTCTACACTAACCATGCCCCACTTATCTGTGCCTGATATATTGGCCAGAAACATAAATATGGTTATTATCATGATATCCTTTGGATGAAAACTGACAATAGCTTCCTCTATCTCTCAGGATTAAGGCCAGAGGCTTTACAATGGCCCTATCTGGTCTAGCCCTCCTGTCTAACAGCACCTTCTACTATTCCCCACCCATCCCACCACAGCCAAACTGGCTTCCCTCTGTTCTTCCCACAATCCAAACACGATTTGTACAAGCCTTCCTTCTGCCTGGAATGCTTTTCCCCAAAACAGCCCATTTTCTCTCTCTGCTTCCACCATGCCCGCCTCAGTTCTCCTACTGCTGTTCTGATTTCTCATCCCTCTTCTACCTTCTCACAGTAGAGAGTTCTCTACAAAGCTATTATTTATTGTTTATTTCCCCCCCATAACAAAGTAAACCCCAAGAAGAAAGAGTTTTTTCCCATTAAATTTAGGTTCATTTTTCAAAAGTTATTCTGCCTCAAGTAATGTTATCACGTATTAAATAAGGGAATACATGGATGGATGGTGATCCACAGTAGAAAATGCTCTAATACCAGTCATGCATAAAGAAGTATGATTAGCAGGCTTGGCTATAGGATCACTGTTTATCACTGTACGAGTTCATGTAGACATTTCAAAATACAGACATAGGTTCTCATTTGATTAAAAAATACTCATTAACTAGCTCAGCATGTCCAAATGCTTGGATTAAACCTCTACAGAAGCCGTATTCTAATGGATATAGAGTTCCTGCCTGGATATTATTGTAAAACAGAAAGTACATTAATTTCTTAATAAATAAAAGAAAAATTGCCCAGCAAGACTGCCCTGATTTCTTCTGGATCCAAGTAAGCCATGGCCAGACCATGATGTACCTAGCTGTCCAAAGTCAACAGCTGAATCTTTTTCAATCATTCCATTATTGCCTACGCCCTTCTTTTAAAGAGTGGGAGAGTAAATTCAATGATCACTTGAGGCAATTTAGAGATGAATAAACTGAAGTGGGACTGAGCTGGGAAAACTGCTGAAAATCTTGGGTGAGTTATGGTTCCATATAAGGAATAGATACAAACTTATTATGTTGTTAAATATAAGGAACAGACATGAATTAATCCCAGAGAGAAGAAGGACGAATCTGTAAGGTTTTTTTAATTGGCTTTTCTAGCAATGACCTAAGGGGGGGAAAATGTGTGCCATTATAGAACTTTAGGACTGGCGAGGCATGATAAAATACTGAACGGGCTTGCCAGGGATTTGCTACCAGTTAGAGCTGATAACATAAAATTTAAATCAACGAGTGCTGCTAATAACATTTGCAAATCACCCACAGGACAGGTTCTTTAGAGAGATTCAATGAGAGTCATAATTTCCTGCTAAATTTAGAGGGTAAGTACTTTCAATTTGACTTGGAGCCATTCTATTTTGCAAAAATCAAGAGAGAGAGAGAGAGAAGATCCCCTGCTATAAGACAACTACTTAACCTATGGCCCATATTCTGGGGGTGTCTCAATGAGAGCAAAACAAAATAATGAATTGCAAGATCCACTTCTTTCATGAAAAGAAATTTACCATGTTCAAGAGGGAGGAAGGGAGGGAAGAAAGGAGGGAGAGAGGGAAGGAAGGAGGAAGGGAGGGAAGGAGGAAGGGAGGGAG